AATAGAAGCACGCATTTCCATAGGAAACTTTTTCACTGCCAATCGTACGGATTGTTTTAGGGACTCCAAATTGTCATGGCGTTTAGAGCAAGCCGTACTCTCTAAAACTGACCATAAATTATAATCCAGCGGATTAAGATCGGGACTAGACGACGGCCAGTCTTCAGCTCTGATGAAGTCCGAAACGTTCGTTTCCAACCAAGACTGCGTAGACCGAGCTTTATGACCTGGCGCCGAGTCTTGCTGGAAGGACCATTCTTGATTATTGAGCATGGTGTTGTTAAGGGGCTTCACTACCTTCTCAAGAATGGTATCTTGATACACTTGTGCGATGTTTTGATACCTTTTTCACAACAGTATGGCTCAGTCACTCCTTCATAGCAAATACCCCACCAAACCATCACATAGTGCCCACGTTGCACTCTGTCGACTAATTGGGAAGCTTCCTTAGAGCTTTGAGCATAAATACGGTCATTTTGTTTGTTAAAATGTTGCTCAATTGTAAAAAAATCGTTGTTGTTTCGATTTTACCACTTTATTTTCTTTTAAATTATCAGTTAAGAAATGACCAGTACGTCTCTTATAGACTGCAAGTCCTAAATTAAATTCTAAAAAACTGACGGCCTTTTTTTTTACGACATATGTTTTTAATGTAACAGAGCCTATTTTCTGCTTGAAATTAATTTCTGTGTATATGTGCGCCTAAATTATTCTATTGCGCTTCTATATTTCTGTGCTACAGCGGATATACTGTTTCAATAAACATTAAATCATAATTTAAAATTATATTCGATAAACGGACAATTAAGTGTTCTACAAATAGTGAATAGAACAAAAAAATCTTTATTGAACACTACTAGTAAAAAGCAAAAGGTTAAGGTCTGACTTTGTCATGTTGTTTAATTTGCTAAAAGTGGATTTTTTTCACAAAACATAATAGACATACGCAGTTACGGTTAAAGTTTACAAATATGTTGTTATACCAATTATTGAGTTATTTTTTCCTGTCTACGATAATGACGTTTGTGCATAACAACTATGTGTGTTGATCTTGGGCTGAATTTTCACAGTAGTGTTGTACATAGTCTACGGCTTAGTTGGGGTTAGAGTATCTTAATCAGTACATTTCGGTCGAACAACCCTATAGTACATTCATACTATGTCTGCAGAATCATTATTCTAGATTTGAAATAATTTGATTTATACCTTTATAGGTTTAATTTTTGTATGTTTGATGTAACTAGGACGACTAAGATGGCGCGGCCAATTTTTTTTTCCTATCTATGCTGATAGCCTTGAGAGGCTATTTCAGCTTCTCCTTGGCGTGTAGGTGAGCTCACGGGGCTCAAACCGGGAGTGTTGCTAACTCTGACCCTAGCAAACACTGTGCTTCGCAGAATCTACCACCGGATCGGAAATGCGACCCACTGAGAAGAGCGAGAAACTCAGTGGGCTCTGTGTTAATTTACTCGTCGAGCCCTTCGTCGCAAGCGACGGGTTCGGTGGGTACGGTGACCAGTGCTTGAGGTACCTAAAAGCACCGATAATAGATCGGGAGGATCCGTAATGACATGTTTAGGGCGACGTCGACTGTTTACTATTCGGTCCACAGGATTGGGTATGAACGCGCGGCCAATAGATACCATATTACAAACCCCGTTGTTTAGCTTAAGTTATATATTCGAAGTCTACTGTTATGTAAGTTTCAATTGTTAAATGAATTTACCTTGTCTGCTTCAGCAACTTCTGTGATTACAGTTTCATCTTGTGGACTGATGGTCGTGAACGTTTTCTTACTAACTGCATCAACCCATTCGTTGTTGATGAACAACTGAAACGCGATACGAGCTAACTTACACTTGCAATAAATGGAGATTAAATTATTGATTATTTAGGTGATAGCCACTGAGTTTTTTTGACAGATATAAAATTTTAGACTCATCGAATTACACTGTAACATTTTAGCTATTGTTTATTAATAACTACCAATAACGCTAAGATTCAAGCTCCGAAAATACTAAAATAGAAAACATAATCTTATACCTTTAAACGAGCAATTCTTGTATATTAATATACATGTATATAATCTGAATCTCGGAAACGGCGCCAACGATTTTCATAAAAATTAGTATACAGGGGATTTCGGGGGCGATAAATCGATCTAGCTACGATTTATTTTCAGAAAATGTGGTTTTATTCGTGTTTTCAATAATCAACTCTTTCCGACATCTATTAGCGAATAATAATACTATTTTTCTTAATTTTAATAATTTTTCTTAATTGAGGGCAACTAACCGCTTTAAAGACACAACAAGATGGCGTTATCAAAAAAAAAAAACGAGCAAAGCTCATCATCTAGTAAGTAAAATCAAAATACACAATTGGAGAGCTATTACTAATAGCATAACCTAAATTATCATGAAACAAATTATATTTATATTCGGCAAGTGTGAAATGGACTTCGTGAAATAAATAATTATATGATTATTTTTTTTACCTTAGTATATTTTATTTCAACTTGAGCCATTTTGAATTCACGTTGCTTCGACTGTACAATTGTTACTGAACAAAGTTTGTGCAAATTGATTCGTTTTATTCAATTCAGAAATTTATTGATTTTCATTGTAAATTGTAATGTTTGAAAGAGGGTCAGTCGCTGTATCTGCTTATGCTTCATTGATAAGACACGAATATATTTTAAATGTAGATTTAAAATAGATTTATAGTGTTATTGAATTTACTTTCTACTGATGTTAGTAAGGGCGCATTGTAAGTTTGCGGGTATATAAGTACTATTTTTTATTATTCTGTCTATTTCTGCCATAACAATAAAACGTTTTTAAAACTATTCCATTTATCTTTACTGCTACGATCTTCTTTTTTTTAAATTTCATTTATTTTAACGATTCGACTTTTAACCTTAAGCTGGTTCTGAACGTATTGTGAAAATTAAAAATTGTACGTTTGCTAGAACTATTTGTTATTTCTGGTAATGTTTTGTAAGCATTACTGCGGTAGGACTGCAAAATTAAGGTTAGCCTTGTGCTCATTTTTTTTGATTGTTTTTTTTATTGCCTTTGTAGGCAGACGAGCGTACGGCCCACCTGATGGTCATTGGTTATCGTCGCCCATGAACTTCAGCAATGCCAGGAGCAGAGCCAAGCCGCTGCCTACTGCTCTTAGTAAAGGGTGTCTCAAAATTAGCGTAAGAATCGGATTAAATAGAAAACACAGCTTAAGTCTTTTGTTTATATATTTTTTATTGATTAATAAAGTACATAGGTTAGAGTTATTTATGGAATAACACATCGGGCAACTGGCCTCCACGGCTTTGCATGCACATACGTAAACGTTTGTCGAAATTTTCCATGACCATTTTGCATAAATATGGCTGAATTTCATTGATGCAGCGTTGATTCTCCTCCTTTAATGCACGAGTAGTTGTGGGCTTTTTGACCTGTGTGAGCTTGTAGAACTGTGATTTCAAATCTTAATATATGTATATAGGTATATATTTCTTCTGTGCGTGTGTTTGTCACTGAACTCCTCCTAAACGGCTGGACCGATTTTAATGTAATTTTCTGTGTACCTTCAGGTGGATTCGAGAATGGTTTAGATTTACAAATCAGCCCGGCAGAGGGAGCTGCAGTCGGTATCTAGGTTATTTATCTGTCCTAGAAATAATTTATATGGCAAAACAACGTCTGCGGGGCCAGCTAGTTAGTAACTCCATAAAAAGAAAACAAATTGTGTTAAATCACACGATCTAGGGGTGCCCCCCTATAGGTCGGGAATACATACTATACATAGCCTCGCGAAGTTAGGTATTTATGATACATCACCTTACAAATAAAATTAATTTAAATTCGACAACATTCTTAAAAAAAGTGTCATTTTATCAAAATGTTTAATTTGACTTTTTTGTCTCTGATAATACATTAACATTGAAAAGAAATAAAGGTTATCAATAAAGTTGTAGTGGTATATTTTATTGTATAATTATTTACATTGCGTAATTTATAATTTAATTAAATTTATCATATTAATACAATGTAAAATATTTTCTTTGATTTTCGCGAGCCGTGGACATGTTGCGATTAAATTATTTTTACAGTTTAATCTTGTACTTTTTATTGTCAATATATTGTTTCTGACTTTCTAATACTGCACTAAGTCGTCAGTAACCATGAAAACTGTTAAGTATTATTGTTAAGTAAGAAACTATTAAGTACTAGCTGACCAGGCAGACTTCGTAGTGCCTCAATCGATAAATAAAGGACCTAAACTTTTATATAAAATAAACTTAAAACCAATAAAAGGAATCCGTCCGACGGGGGACAGACACATCAAAGGAAAACAAAATTGTTATTTTTATTTAATTCCGAGCATTTTCGTATTTACCTTTTAATCCTTTTCTGGACTTCACATAAATACTCATACTCACACAAATAATTCAAGACCAAAATTAGCCAAATCGGTCCAGCCGTTCTCGAGTTTTAGCGAGACTAACGAACAGAAATTCATTTATATATGAAACATCAGAAATAATATTATGACAATATGAATGGCGGGATTAAACCCTAAAAGTGTTTGTAACACAATGCAGCTTTGTAATCGAACGACCGATTTTTTGCGAAAATAAAATTGAAAGAGCTACTCAGAGCTACTTGGTTTATAAGATATTAAAGAATCGATGCGTTAGTCAGCGATTACTGGAAGCTTTATAATATATTTTATGATTGTAGAATTACTATTAAAGGGTTAACGAAATAAACAAGCATCACACCACGATTCCATCACCGATTTTTAGGCATAGGGTCGATATTTCAACTGTGTTCGAATAACAGCAAACTTATGATGTCTGTTGAAAGACATTACTAATTGCAGTTACCTGCGAAACGAGAATTGTGAAAGGAAAACAACATAAGTTTAATATTAAACATAGAGAGGTAATCATGTCTGCGATTCGCAAAAACTTAAGATAGTACAATGTTTTACAGGTTTAGATCCAGCCCGTCCATTGGTGTCTGCGTATGGCTCCCGGCAGTTCCGTCTTAGCAGAGATGACGCTTATGTCGTTCAAGTCTTGCATACCAACGCTGGTTTCCTAGGAGAATCCGGTTTGGTGGGGNCATAAGTTTAATATTAAACATAGAGAGGTAATCATGTCTGCGATTCGCAAAAACTTAAGATAGTACAATGTTTTACAGGTTTAGATCCAGCCCGTCCATTGGTGTCTGCGTATGGCTCCCGGCAGTTCCGTCTTAGCAGAGATGACGCTTATGTCGTTCAAGTCTTGCATACCAACGCTGGTTTCCTAGGAGAATCCGGTTTGGTGGGGCACGTGGACTTCTGCATCAACGGTGGACGACTACAGCCGGGCTGCAAAGGACATTTCATGCGTACGTCACTTATTATATTGTGTTGTAACCCTCAGACACAGCCCACTGAGTTTCTCGCCGAATCTTCTTAGTGGGTCGCGTTTCCGATCCGGTGGTAGATTCTGCGAAGCACGGCTCTTGCTAGGGTTTGTGTTAGCAACGTCATCAGGTTTGAGCCCTGTGAGCTCACCTACTAGTTAAGGTTCCGCTAATATAGACTCTCAAGGCTATCAGATAAGGTAGGAAAAAAAATGTTGTATGGTTTATTTCGATTTGACGATTTAAATTTTTTGAGTCTGCTTGATCAACTGTCTCTAAGCTTACTACCTTTAACAACTGGTCAAACAATTGATCGACTTTTCAATCCGTGTGATCTCTTATGTCACCTTGACAATTTGATGTTCGGCGATAGAGATACGATAATAAAGCAATCAAGCGCAATGTTTAAAAAGCTAGATCATATCTCAAGTATAAACAGTTCATTTACTTATTAACCGTGGTTGGAAGCTTCATACACACATAGCAGTAGTTTTTTAATTGTTATTTGTTGTAATGGTCATAAGCAAATTGATATTATTTGATAAGTGAGTAACACTCATAGCAGTATTTAATAATCGAAATAACCTGATATTAACACTTTTGAAATTGCTAACTCCAACTAAAATATATTGCCAAAACCAATTTTATGTACGAGTTTCGAAAACTAAGTAGAATACTCTATACAATACTGGCAACTTTATTTGAAATCCCAACAAACTTAGTTTTTATTCAAAATTCACTTGAGACACTTCGAGTCAGTCACGCAGGTCGAGATTTCACGAAATCATAACTCGATTCGATTAAATGCAAAAACTATATTCAATGTAAATTATTTCTTGTAAATAGCAGGGTCGAGTTATTGTTCACAAATAGGTACCAGTCGTCACGCCTAGTTTCAAAGACATAATATTACAGAATCTTAGAATCGAACGTCCGAGAAGAATGTGGTATTTATGATAAATATATTTTTTAAAGGTATTATATTAACTAGTGGCCCCGCAGTAGTCGAAATTCGACTATAATTAAATGAAATTATAAGTTTAAATATAATTATGTTTCTGTTGTCAAACAATATTATAATTCGATAATATAATCACAGTATTCGCCAAAACTGCATTGTAGATCAATAATATTAAAGAGAAACAATATTAATCTATTTTCAATTCGACTACAGACTTTAAACAATAACAAAAGTTGCCCAATTGACAGTAAACAAAGAGTTTATTTTGATATATGTGTTGTGCAAATACATGGAGTGTGTGTAATGTTTTCTTTATTGATTTAAAGTATCTTTTATGCATTATTTTAAAAATTATTAGCATTGTCCACTCCTTCTTTATATTCTCTATAAGTGTGAGAAATTTCATACTTCTCCGTCCGTGCAATTTTCGTAAAAAGGGGTACCAAGTTTTTGCTTCACGTATTAATATATAGATGATCTGAGAAGTAACGGTTAGATTTTGATAATAGATGACACCGAGCCTGAGAGTTTTGACAACGAAAGACTTCTACAAAAGTGTTTTGTCAAACAATTACTAGTTCTGTTATTTATGTAGATTTAAAGAATTTTTTTTGATAAGAATTTGAAAGTTGTATGTAGAACGCTGTGTTCAAGAAAAGCAGTCCGCAATCAATACAGGAAAGCGAAGTTTAAGGTGTCGATATTGTTTACCGTTGCCGTTGTAACTATACTGAGGCCTTAGAAGTTTTATCTCAAGGTGGGTGGCGCATTTACGTTGTAGATGTCTATGAGCTCCAGTAACCACTTAACACCAGGTGGGCTGTGAGCTCGTCCATCCATATAAGCAATAAAAAAAAGGAAAAGAAGTTATACTTTATTTTTATTAAATTTATTTCTTTTTTTTTTTTTAATATATTTGAAAAAAAATCGATTAAACAACATCCTCAAACACGCATATTAGACATCCCTTTTCTTGACATCGTATAAATTCGGTAATTCTCGGTACGGTTCGGTAAGTTCACCTGCGGCTATATTCAGATTCGCCAAGTTACGTCGGTCGTATTGTAATGAGCGATTTAGTGGGCAACTTCATTTCTGTTAATTTTGTGTCACGGTGCGCGCGCATCGTAAAATTTCACTCTCATCAATTTTTCATAACGTGCCTAAAGAAGTATAACTTCAAAAATTACGTTTCTCAGGTATCGCTCGATGTAGTCATTTCAAGAGTTCGTGCTACTTCGCCGCGAGTGTCCGCAAAAGTCTTCGCCTTGTAGGCGTTCCTTGCGACACCTCGTGTCCTAAAGAGCGAGGTCCTTGGGGAATACGGTACGACAGGAAGGCTATCCGGCTTGGGGATGATGTTCCTGATTCGTAAGTACAGTATTCCATATGAAGATTGTATTTTTTAAAACATTCATACTGTATTTTTTGCCTTAACCACGGAACCTCTAACCTGATTTTTTTTTAAGGGAATTATGACCTGGTAACTAAGACCTTTAAGTCATGTCTTATTTTAATTTATATTCTTATTTTTATGAAAAATGATAATATGAAATGAAATGAAGATGATTAATTTGAGACATTAATCAACTGGGATGAAATTAAATGAAATGAGATGAGATGATATGGGATGAAATATAATCTCAGTAAAATGGTGGTCATTTACTGAGATTTTTTCAGTGGACTTTTTGGAGGATCCCGAGAAGTTACGACCAGCGGCTTTGTTTCATTTTCCCACATTTGTGCACTTTCACAGATATTAAACAGTTAATAAACCACCATTATTACACATTTAAACCCGAAGAAACACTAAATAGACAAAATAAAACAAATCACACAACTTCACTCCTCGCGTTCCCGCCAAAAAGTCCTCTAACCTGACACTGTCTTTTGACCATAGATCTTCTTTTGACAACCAACTGACATTGACATCGTAAATACACAGATTAAACTATTATGCTGAGCATATATGTAGGATGCGAGAAATGGAACGAATGATTGTATGAAAGAGATAGGAATGTGGTATGAAAGTGTTGTGTGAGAGAGACAGTATGAATGGAAAATTAAGCTTGCTGATTGGTTCACGGCAGTGTGATATTCTTTTTGGAAACTATGGTGGATTCGGTTAAGACGAGAGTTTTTGGCTTATGTTTTAAATAAAACTAAAAGTGGTTTAAGATAAATATTCTTGTTATTTCTGCTGGACACCCCATCCCACATTTTGGGGGCTCGTCCGGGATGGTGCAGAAATTTATGTGAACCAGCAGATTCTAAAGATACGACGAGGAAGACTAAAAACGACGCGTGGGAGCGACCATATTTGAATCATACCGGAGGACGGAAAATTTAATTACGACGACACGACGACTACGACGATATCCGTTTCGACCGACTGATTCATCCGCTTCAAACAATAAGATTACGACGAAAACATGCCTAAAGATCGACAGAGATACGACGAAGACGCACCACTGGTTTCCAATCAGAGTTTGATGTACGTAGAAGAGGCGATTCCGAAGTTTTCCGGTAACGATGCGTCCTACACAGCGACAAACTGGGCACAAGAAGTGGAGGATAACACAGAGATTTTCGATTTAACTCCAATCCAGCAGCTACTTATCGCCAGGCGAACTTTGACTTCTACTGCAGCGGCGTGGCTCCGTACTGAGAAAACCTTTAAGAGCTACGATGATTTGAAAGCGGCATTATTCAAAGAGTTTCCAGATGTTATCAATACTAAAGAAATCCACGAAATGATGAGTGAACGGAAAAAACGCAAGGACGAAAGTTGTTACGATTACATGCTCGAAATGAAGGCACTGGGCAAGCGAGGAAGGTTAGCCGACTATGTGGCTATTCAATATATTATAGAAGGCATACTCGATCGCGAGACTAACAAGATCATGCTATACGGCGTTACGACTTACCCTGAACTGAAAGAAAAACTAAAGTTATACGAGACATTTAAGACTAGCATCAAGAAAGAATATACCAAAACCAGTTCAAGTTCCAGCAGCGGCGAAGCAAGTCGTTATAGAAAGCAAGGTCGTCCAGCGGCGGCGGTGCGTTGTTTTAGCTGTGGGAAAATGAATCATACATCTGCGGAGTGTCCAGATCGTGAAAAAGGACTAAAATGCTTCCGATGTAATGAATTCGGACATATGAGTCGTCTATTATCAAAGCCGGCAATCTGACTTTTGAATAATATTGGTAAATCAGAAAAACGAATTATTGACTTTGTATTCCATTGGCAGTCACAAAACTCTTCGGAACGACATCTTAGATAAATAACAGGTTAACTATTAACCTTTATTTAATGCAGGTTTTGAACCGTATTCTTTGAAGGAGACGATTATATTCAAATCAATCTGTATTGACATATCAATAA